ACTTCAGAATAAAACATTGCATCATCAGATTTAGAATGTTAATAGTAATTGTTGGAGTTTCACATCCCGAACTCGAGATATTATGAGGTACGCCGTAGCGGAGGGCTTCGGAAATTTCGAATGCCCTGAGTTAGAGTGGCTTGACCTGGGCTTCTTTAACGTGCACCTAAATCCTAGCACAAGAGGCCTCAAGCGTTTTTGCCGCCATCGAGAATGTGGCTGCGGCGGTCGAGATTGATCCCGCATAGTTTGTGTTCGCAGTTGATCACCATAACCACTGTGGTAATTACGCTGCTCCTTGCACATTAGTTGCCGTACTTTAGTTGCATGGTTGCGCAAAGTCTCTCTTATTCAAATTTGCATTTTTCGGTAGTGCAGCCTAAAACTTGGCGCTGGTGAATTTGCAGAAATGTGGCCCTTGAAGGTGTGCCGGTCACAATCGCATTTTCATGTGCCGTCTTCCAATAATGGGCGCTCTCTCAACTATGGGCTTTCCAGTGGTCAGCTGTATGTGGTCACTTGCGATTCCATGTTGCCTAATTTAATTATTTTCTGTATATAAATGCCTGGCTGTTGTTGGCTGCGATAACTGAAGTGTCATGCTGCTAAGCACACAAGTAAAGGTTCGAATCCCTGCATGGAGAAAGGAAAAAAAAGGGGGAGGGTATGTAAAGCACGCGCACTCCTGTAGTTATAGACAGCTTTAGAATTCTACAGCATTGCCGTGCACGAGTGGGACTATTTCTTTAGCTGCGGAGGCGATCGGCTGTCGCGTTTCTGCAATCCGGGCGGGGCCACTCCAGAATTTGTATCTGGCTATAGGTTTGCTTGCCCCTATAGACGCCAGCAGACTGGAGACTAAAAGTACGAACAAATACACAGTGTGTGCATTAGGTTTATAATTTTGCAAGCAAAACTGTACAAAATAACCCTGACCAAACATACTGAACATATAGTTATGAATAACTCTGAAACTACAATATGCAGTACGATTGTGACTTGGGTGCTCACAAGTAGAAGTATTCTGCAATCTTGCTAGATCACAAATTTGGAGGACACCCGAGCTTTGCCATTAAAGTAATAGGGCCCCACGCACGTCACCTTAACTGCTGGCCTGGCCTCTCTCCTCAATGCACGACTCACTCATGTCGTAAGGAAGCGAATGACTGTGTTCATATTTCTGGGAAACAAGCTTTTCAACGAAAACAGGTTTGGCTTTTGTGCAACTTCTGTATCGGATGAATAGTTTGCACTGTAACACAAGGGCGAAAGATAGATTGATGGAATGACATGGAATTCAGACCAGTTCGCTCCAAAAAGCCAATGTATCGGCAGGTCTTCTTGGTACAAGGATGCAGATGACAGTCAAAAGTGGCCTGTATCAGACCTCTCAGGGGTCTTCTTGGCTGTAGAGCTATTCCCAGAATCCAGTGGGAAATGCGTTCGTTTTTGCCAAAGCCTGGTGAACCGCGAGAAAGCTTGCATTTGCGTCTTTATGCAAGTGTGAATGTGTCCTTTGTGCACTGGTTAATCAATATCTTCAGTTTTGTTGTACAGCCGCAATGTGCTCGCATATTTTTCAGAGGCACTTTTGGGTTGTGAACGTCACGTGGCAAAACAACATGCACTTCACTCAATTCGAGAAACGTGCGGGGTGCATTAAATTGCACCCAAAGTGGGTCTGGGAAACTAGGCTTGCTATGACAACCTGATGCGCAGTTGATGCAATTGATTTAGTCGTGCATAACCAGGAACAAAGCTTGAACTCCCTTGGTACAAAAAGATTCATTCCAGACTACCACAAAAGGAAATAAAGATACTTAGCGTGTAGCTCGTTAGGCTTGTTTATATTTGCATTGCATTTTTAGAAGTTGTGTTTGTAGAAACTTAAGGTAGTCAGTGTTCTTTTGTACTTAATTCTTTGGTTGTTTATTGTAAAATGGCAAGAGCTACTCTCAAATTTCTTGTACGTGTCGCCTAAACATGCTCTCTGTGATCTCTTGTACTCCAAACTAAATTTTTTCTAGTATATAATCTTTTACCGTAATATGGACAAACTTATCTATACAATTAGAAGGACAGTAAAGGTAGATTTTATGCCAGAGTGAAAGGTCAATGCCTTGAGAACGTCCATGAAATGTCAATATTATATGCTGCAGCGCTTTGGTAAATGAGAAATCGAGCTAAATGGAGGACACGATTTATGGCACCAGCAGGACGTTCTGGAACACAAGCGCGATGGTTTAAGGGGGCCTCAGTAGAATTATCGACTAATACTCCAAAAGAACGATGACAGAAAAGAAAATTTGAGTGCAATACAAGACTGAATAAAATGCGACTAGCGCATTTCAGTTCGATTGATGTAAAAAAGAAGTTCTTGAATGATATCCTTGTTCAGTTTTTGCGGTGCTGTGCTCCGATCAAGACTCATGATCCATTCTGCTGGATGCCAAGCTGTGAAGTGAGTGAAGGGTGCGCATGGCTATTTAAGAAGGTCGTTCTCAGAAGTGGGCAGTTTGAATCATGCCGGCGGCATGAGGACGACTTGAACATTTCTGTCACTCAGGACAAGCACGAAAAGGTTTCTGGAAGTCTACTACGACAATCCATGTCAACTTGACATTTGCCATTAGTGTCCAGCTACGGCTGGAGAGACAAATGACAGTGATTTTCTTCATTGATCACTGCATATACAGTGATCCAGTGGAACCAGTGGAGGGACTACACTCAAACCTCATCATAACAAAGTTTCATCTCACAAAAAAATAAATTCGTTATATCCGAAAATTTGTTACAAAGGTTATTCTTAACTCTATATATTAAGACTATTTTTCATTTACTTCGTTATAACCGATATTCCTTTATATCCATGCTCATATTATTGAGGTATGAGCGTAATAGGCTGTGCAAATAACGGAACATAATCTCTGTGTTAAAGCCACTTGCAGCACAGCTTCCAAGAGTGGTGCCATGTGTTTTTCAGTGCTATCTACACAGATATTCTCCGGAAGGCCACCAGGAGAAAATACCATGGTGCCCAGTTCTGCAACTATACGAATAGGGGGAAGCTGACGAATTTTCGCTGATCCTTGCAATATGCGAAGCAATGAAAAAAATGCTTGGAACATGGGGGGGGCGGGGGGGTGTTGCTGGAGGCGTTGTTTCGGCAAGTGGACTCGTCGTCTTCCAGACATTGGCTCCAGCGACACCCGGTGTCCCGAGGATTCTTCATCATGACTTTCCTAACATTAACTTGCAGAGACACTGGCGCTGCGATCGTTAACCCACTGTGAGAACGATGGGTGGTACACAAATTTGCCTAGTTTTCGTGCTTGCGGACTTTAGACGCACTTGTGGCTTCGTTGATTGTTGCGCTTTGGTCTTGTTTTTAACAAACCGTTTTGAACTTCGTGACCTGATATTAGTTAGTGAGCCTAAAAAGTTAAGATACTGAAATGAAATGGCTGAACATTTGCTGATTGTCGTCTTGTGACAAAGCGGCTCCAAATTACACGAAGCCAAACGGAGTCAAAAGTACGAAGACTACACAAATATATGTACGACCCACCATTTCCATGCTTGCTGAAGCGCGTGCATTGCAGCTCCCATAGACACTAGCTCCAGAGTTCCCTCTAGTGTATTTATAGGAAACTCTATGGTCCAAGCCACATAGCTTTTTAGCCTTGTGTTACCAGCCATGTGTTACTTAACACTTCATATGTTTGCACCTTTTAGTTACCATTATTGCAGAAGCCGATAGACAGAGCGCACGCTAGATGGCACCACAATACAATACCTTAGACAATGAATACATTACTGAGGCACATTTGACGGTGCATATTTTTTAATGTGCACCCAGAGACTGTACATTCACCAGTGCAAAAGAAAGATTTTAAGTTACTATAAACCCTTCTGTCAGCTGTGCATGAACAACTTCCCATTTTCTTGCAAGCTTTCAATGGACTGCTATATGCAGTACAATCAACGAGCTTAAATTTCATTTCCTTTGTCCTCAAGCCATATCAAAGTGGCATTGACATCTGCTCAGAGAATGAATTGAACATTGAATCATCGAATAATTTGCGGGACAATCGAAACAAGCCATGCAGATATTCAAGGATTACGAGGGTTAGCCACCTAAGGTAATGCACATGGTGTTGTTAATTGGCACCCTAAAGTCTGCACATTTACATTTGATTACCACAAGAACCTGACCAAAAAAAAAAAAGCAAGTATGCGTTTAGCAATCTGCTTAGTTACAACATGAGTTACGTCGTTTACAAGTAACTTGAAGTTGCGTTGAGTTCGTACTGGTACAGAGAAGATTATCTTCTTAAGACTTCCTGTCCTAAACTGCGACTGAAGCCCCATTGTGGACATGGTAAACAGTTACGAAGTGATGCATCATCCTTTAATATGTTGGACAATTTTATAGGAACCGAAACTAACTAAATTCTTGTAACAGTTACTTAAAAGTTCCTATATCTTAAGAGTACCCCAATTACTGGTAATGCTACTAGTAAAAGTTTCCGCCCAAGATTCGATAGAATTTACCAGGACGTTCAAGTTTGACCTAAAATCGGCACCACCAGTGTGGGTTGTGTGGGCGTGACCCAAAAAGCATGCGAAGTGCTTAACATCACGCAAGTGAGAAAGGGCCATTGGATGCAGCACTTTTGCAAATTTTTTGTGGGAGAAACCATAGTAAGCCTTGTATGCGTGGCAGACATTTTCTTTTTAAGGTGGGGAACATCACACAGTTTTCTTTCGGTTTATGGCTTCCCAGTTGGTCGCTTGTTTAATATTTGTCTTTTCTCGCCGTCATTTCAGAGTTGCTACCAAAGAGTCAGTTTGGAGCAGCATGTCACAGAATTTCTTTCTTTTTCACTGAATGTCGCAATTTTTTGTATGCAAACCTTTACTGTATTCTTGCATCATGCATCATTGTACAGTGTTGTGAAAGTGGCACAGCATGCAATAGCTGAAAGATTAAGCGCAGCTCTGCTGAAAAGTGTTTATTAGTGTATACAAGGTAAACAGTAAACTTTACATGATGAGATTTGTACAATTGCAGATGTCTCCCGCAACATTGCAACAGTGTGCAGTCTGGTAGCACGGGGACAAGCCACAAGTGAGATAAAAAAAAAAAAAAACTTTGCAAGCGTGGCTTTCTGTACACAAGTTTTTTTTTTTTTTTTTGACTTGGCGAGCATGTTAGGCACATCACTTCGTGGAAGATGATATAGCCTCTGCACAGAGGTCAAGGTACTTTTTCATCAGGGCATCTGCGAGAAGCAAAAGGAACATAATTAGTTCAACAATGTTCAAAAGTGTTGACAAAGATGACACAGACGTAAAGAAAAGCCGACTTTCTCTTTGCATATTCAATGAAATCCCCGCTTGCAAATGTTCAACATGCCGCAACTTTTCTTCTACTGGGTTTAGGAGATTCACTTTAGATGCTCTGTACACAGTTCACATTCCAGATTATTGCAAGGTTCGAAAAACAGTTCCCCAAAAGGTCTTGGAATATTCTGCATTTTTAAAAAGTGCACATTATACTAGCAAAACAATTGCATACTTGAAATTGATGCACTAATATACATAGCCTCGTCAAGTTCAATCAAAATCTGTTAAGAAATAAACATTAAGAACGGTGTTTCGCCGCACTGAGAAAAATTTTGCACCTTGTGGTTGTTGCTACAGGTAGGTTACGACGCACTCATCACGGCTGAAAACGTTGACACTGAGAAGGAGACTGTTAAGAGTAATATTTAGTGCATCCAGTTGCAATTTCGGTTTCTAAAAGCACTGAGCTAGGCTGGAGCAGCTCCTGTGTCAAGGTAAACAAAGGTGGCCACACGACCACGCAAAAACGCGACTTAGGCGCCGTGCACAAGCTGGCGGCGCAGTGAAAGAGCACAGCCAGCTCATGCAAAGCTGCTGGCACAAAGAAAGAATTTCAGGTAGCGAGGCCTGTGCCAGCAACCAGCCACAACACAAACTCGTTACGTTTTACTCGGTCACTAGACCGACGGTGTCACGAGGGGATGTGCATCTTGCCACGTCGCACGACACTAAAATAGATTTTAAATACGTTCTAGGCCATGTGTTCCCTTGTTTCATAGATGTGTCTGTCTCTATGTAATCCTATCTCTCATTATCTCACTAACGGATGATGGCAATTTTGTGTCGGTTCTCCTTTAAACATAAAAGGACATATGGAACGTTTATTACATTGTTGTTAAATGTGCTTATCATGGTTTGTGCGATGCACCGACATGATGCCTATATAGGATCCTTTTCCAAAGCAGTTTCAAGACCAGACACGGCTCTGTGGTAGAATGTTTGACTGCCACGTAGAATGCCTATGTTAGATTCATTTCTAGGATCTTGAATTCATTCTACTCGCGTGCTCACTACAGGTAGGACCGAAATGCACGGAAGTAAAGTCTGCCACACTCACCCGGTGCCCTGCGCATCTTCACAGCATCGTTCAGAAATGTCTGCGCGATGCGGTAGTTGCCCATGCGGTAGTGTGCAACGGCCTTGCGAAACATTGCCTTGACGTTATTGTGCTGAAGAATCAAGACTTTGTTGCACAAGTTGACGACCCGGTTGTAGTCGCACTGTGGTCGTTTCAACAGGCATGCTGCAAAGAAAAGAAAAAAAAAAAAAAATGAAAGAACACTGTTGGTGCACGTGGAAGTTGCGCTACTTGGACAACGAGGCATCTAGAGCTTACAAGATGCGAAAGGTGGAGAACCCTAACTGCGTATAGGGTGCCTCCTCGACGCTAGCACGCAATCCTCAATGGAGTCATCACCAAACTCCTCTCTATTGGCACTCAGTGTCACGATGCAGTACTTCACTGCTCAGAGATTGTGAACTCTGTGTCCCTGGCATATCCCTGGCTTAGATTTGCAGTGACGGAGCTACTACCACCACTTTTCAGTTCGCCAATGTCTTATTCGAGACAAATACATCGGTGAAGTCCTGGTGAGCACTGGTACAAAACACGTAAAGATAGAATTTTACCAGCGAGGTTGTTGCAGCACTGGGCCATCACCTTGTCCACCTCGCCCTGCAACTCCTTCTCCAGTCCCATGTCATCCGGACCCATTTGAGGCACGTCGTACCGGGCCTGACAAGCTCGGAGGTGAAGCAAGCACTGGTGGTACTTTCGGATCGCCGGCTTTAACTGTCCCTCGTTGTACAGGGCATTGCCTTCCTGTACACGCGAGGAAAAAAAAAAATTATCACTGGTGCAGTATAGCCCTTGCAAAATATCACATGCCGGCAAGGTAGGTGCACCGATTTGGCATGTACAGCCAGTGATATACACTACAACTACTGGTATATCCAAAACTAATTTCACGTTTGCCAGTGTTGCAGTTTGCTTGAAGCCCCCCTCTTCACTTCAGGTATTCTCAGATTTGGCTCTACTCTAGTCAAAACATGAATGACAAACGAAAAAGCCTTTGTGGCTGCACATCAAGTCGTTTCACCACGTGGTCAAAATTTAATCCAGAGCCCGCCACTACGGCCAGTTTTGTAATCGCGTCGAGGTCTTGCGAAGTGAAACCCAAAGATGTACTTTTTTAAAGTTAGCACCTTGATTCGAGGACAGTACGGAATTTTGAGAGGGTGTGCAGGAACTACGCAAGCTTTCTTGCAAGAACTAGCCTACTGCCACATTTGGCACTAATGGTTAGTGTTATTTCGAATGAATGAAGAAAAAAGCAAGGCAACGTCCTGCCTCGAGGTGTTCCAGAAAAATGCGCAAGTCATGGTTAGGCGTTGACTCTCCAGTTGTGGCGAAAAATACTTCAGGAAAGACTAGTAACACTAGTGGCAATATACATAGTGGTGATAAAGTCCCTGCATTCCAGAAATTGAGAGCGCGCCAAGTACTAATTGCCGGTCAAGACGTGTGGAGATATCAATTAGATAACATAACTGGCTGAGTCTGTTGTCACCCAACTTCAAGGGGACTGCTATTTGACAAACATTTATCTAGGAGATAAATACTCGCACCATGATGCGAGACTGCATGTCTCCAGTTTGTGATGACTAAGCAAATAATTGCTAAACGAGCAAAAAGGCCGACACAAAACGATTTGGGCATTATTTGAAGAGTTTTGCGGGCCCTCCATCGTAACTCCAAACCGAGAATTATGCGCCTTCACACGGTGCTTAAAACATGAGAGAAAACAACCAAGTTTGGTGGTGGTTAGCACTAACCAGCCACGCTCGGCACAAACTGGTGCACACAATGGTTACTGTCTGATTACGATTGCCATCCGCGGAGGAAATTCGAAAGACTGTGCTGCGCACGTAATGGATTATTGAAGTATGAACTTCCATGTGCAGCTAACAAAATAAAAATCATACTTCAGTGGCAAGCACCAGCTAGCAATGGTTAGCACCAACTAGTGCACCCAGTGGTTAGCCCCCGCCACAACAACACGCGAACGCGCAGATGAACTTCGAAAAGCTTCAAATCGGTGGAGTAATAATCTACAAAATAAAACCACCTTCGCAAAGAAAGTTGCGCAACCGTCCGTTCTTTGTTCTGGCGAACTGTGGCAGCAGCAATCAACCCTCACCAGGCATAAAACACAAAACACAAGACCCACGGTAACTGCCGCTTTTAGTACCACGCAGTAGTGGCTACCTGTCGGGGCATTCAAATAACCCAGAGTAAACGGAGAGCAGCATAGGCAGTGCTAAACGCGTACCATCACTGACCTGTTTACAAATCTTGGCGAGCTCCAAGTCCTCGGCGATTGTCTCAATGCTTGAGCGCCTGACAGGAGGCTTCTTCGGGGGCTCAGGCGCTGCTGGCATTTCAACCGTATTCTGAGACAGCACTTCGGTATCGGCCATGGTGGTCGATGCAGGCGCTGGACGTTTACAGGTCGCTCCAAAGGTGGACACCGGCTGGACTTTTCTTCGACACGTGTCCCAACAGGACGGGCCAACAGCACGTGCAACCTCTCGTTCTTCGCCGAATGCGATGAGACAGCAGGGCGTTGGAATGTCCACTACGGCGGGTTCTTCTCGCAATCGCGTGCGACGGGGTCAACGTGGCTTGCTGTCGATCGAGTTCAAGCGCGGGTACCGAGAGACGGGATGCGTGTCTCGTTAAAAGAAAGCTTCAGGAGTGACACACGTTCGGCCTCCACGCTAGGTTCACTAATCACACGCACGTGCCTGCGACGTTTGCTTTTGTGAGCCTTCACTCCGTTTTGATTGGTTGACAGCGTGATTGTTGTGATTGTCAAAACCCGGAAAAGCGCAAGCTGAGCGCGCTTCCGGAGGTCACGTAAAACTAGTAAAGTCCCTTCGTCACATCAGCTACCATCTAGCATCGCTGTCAAAAAAAAAAAAAAAATTACGGACGTTGAAGGGAAGTCAGTCTGTTTCAATCACGCTTTACAAGCTGGGAACGATGAAAAGAAAGGAATCAAACCAATCGGGAAGAGTTGCAGTAGTTGCCGGGCGACGGTGTTTTAAAAATGGCCGCTCGGTTTGTTTACATTTCGCGCTCTGCGAGCTGCGATGGCCGTGCATGAACGCGAGGAATGGACGTGATAGCTGAAAATTTGGCATCCGTAGATGGAGGTTACGGCAGACTCAAACGGCGATGCGTTTTTCTTAGCCTTCGCGTCCCGAACCGTCGGAAAGGCAGCCTTTTCCTGCGCGAAACGTGACTTCAGCGGAGTCGTCGGCATAGCCTGCTGGTGGAATGTGCGACTCGGCGAGCGAAATATGAGCAACTCGGACGAAGACGCGTCCAAATCCGCGTCTAGTCGCGAAATCAGGCACCTCGCGCATTCGGTCGAAGACAGCATCGTCAGCAAAGTCAACGAGCTCTCGTCCGCGCTCCTCGTAAGTTTTATTGCACGTATCTCGGTAACGAATAATCGATTGACTGACGATAAACGTTGCGTTATTCTAGTGGAAGGTACCACAAGATTCAAAATGAAAGACCGCCAAGCCGGTGCAGGGATTCCTTGTGCATTTCCTGAGTGGCTGCTAAATGTTATAGCATGAAAATTTCGATTTGACGCAATCAGAGGTGTCGCATTAATTTTCTCGTGCGTACAACTCAACCGCAAACTGAAAGCGAAAGAACGAGTTGTTATTGGCAAACTGTGCTTCTTTAGCAATACTCAGAATGTTGAAGCTGAGGGCGGTCAGATACTACGCCGCTGGGATTGCATGTTGTCCATGCAATGCCCTAGACAGACTTGCTAAAAAGAAACCATTGTGTACTGAACAGCGTGATTGTGAGCAACGCGAAGTCATATCGCAGTCTTTGACTGCACTAGATTTCGTCCTCTATTTCGTCCTTTTCACTCATGTAATCCTACGAGGAGCGCTAGAGCCTCGTCAATACGTACAGCACTATGGCTTCTGCCAGTGCTGTTGAGTTAGGTGCTGCGTTACCGAAGTTAATTTTCTGGTTTTTATTTCGCCTTGCTTTCAGGACACGAGCAACAACATTCACTGCTTGAACAGCAAAATACAAGCTTACCGCCAGGAACAGAACGCTGCCGTTGAAGTGGTGGGTGGTGAATTACTAAAATGATTACACTCTCCTCCCGAAGTAATTAGGCCTATTATGGTAGACAGAATTTACTGATACGATCGGTATGTATTATTTGAATTCTTTAAAGTAGTTTCCTTCGGCGTCGATGCAGCCAAGGATACTATTTTTTACATACAACAGTGCTGAGTGTATCAACACTCAGCACTGTTGTATGTGTCCTCCTCTTTCACGCTGTTTCCCTCCAATATATTGCTACTGACACTCCAAGCAACCACTGTAGCTTGATACACTGGCTCAAACGTGATTCTCACGCTGCGAAGGCTCCGGTTGAAGATCTGCTGCTATGACCACTCTTGGAGACTCTGCGACAGCCCGTTGGATGGTGGGCACACCATTGAGACAGTGACTTTCTGCCTATTCTCTTGAGGTCTAGAACAGGAAGACTGTCTGCCAGGCTCCCATCAGGACTTATAGTGCCCTGATGTGAGCATCGGTAAGTGTCTTCCAGGGGAGCTTTTGAATAGGGGCCCCAAAATTTCGGGGCCCCTAAGCCCTTTGCGTGTGCACGCTTTGGATCAAGCAAGAATGAAGAGTTTTCGAACTAGGGTCTACGGCGCTTTGGATACTCATCTAGTCCTTGGTCATGTCACCTCAGTAGGTGCCATCACGTTTGTCCGACGCAAAGCTTTTTGGGGTAGGCCTTGGGGCTCCCTCTAAATTCGAGAAATAGCGTCCACAACTCGAAACCCAAGCGCGGTTTGGGTTTTGCACATGCGCAGTGGCTTTGACGCTATTTCTTTGGGGCCCCAATTAGAAAGCTCCCTAATGTCTCAACGGTGTTCCCGCCATCCAATGGGCTGTCACAGTCTCTCAGAAGGAGTTCAAGAGTGTTGCTTGTTGGTCAAGTTGGTACATACTTAAACTCTGAGGAAACCAATTAAATATCATAAAAAAAAAAAACTGAGGGCTAGAGGCAGTGACACTGAGGTGGCTTAATGACAAATTTTTAGCCGCGAAATAACACACGCACAGAGAGAAGAAACACAGGACGACAGAACGGGCGGCTTTGTTGTGTAGATTCTTGGTCTGTGTATGTGCTATTGCGCGGCTAAAATATGTTCTTAAGCAAGTACCACCTAGGCCAACAAGCTGTCTTGCTAAAACTGAGGTGGCTACTAACAACTGACAATAGTTTTGAAAAAAAATGCCTCCTCCTAAGTGTGGACAGAGCGTGCGCAAGAGCACCCGACCAGATCGCTGCTCCAATCTTATTTACAGAAATCGCCACTGTTCAAGAAAATTGCGTGCTTTCCTGGTTCTCAGTACCGTCGACTTCCTGGTACTTTGTTTATTATAGCTTTAACTTTCACACATAAATAGGATATGACTTCAGTGAACGTTTTCCTTTTCTGCAAGACATCAAGTTGGGCCTGTTGGTTTAGATTTATCTTGAACTTGGTTAGCAGCGGAACACTGGAGACACGAATACAAAGAAGAAGGAAACAATGCACAGTACTGTGTTTTGTGTGAAGAAGGAAGCAAACAACACAGTGCTATGTTGTTATTTATTCCTTCCTTGTCTCTAGTGTTGCACTGTTAAACAAGTTCAAGATATATGTTCGTTACCTTTCTGTACCAAAAAAGCAAAGCTTGTTAACTTGGATGACAGAAAGTTGAACTAAAGGGGACTCATCATAAAAGGCAAACAATGCCGCCATTTCTGAGCATGGGGATGAATTTTTGTTCACCATTTTATGGGTCTCTGTGAAACCTCTCATTTGGTAGTCGCAGCATTTTTTCTTTCTCAGCTTGTCTTGTGACGGCATGCCTAACTTTTTTTATGCAAGCCTTGCCTACCAGTTTCATTTACAAAAGGGATTGTTCCGCCTCTGTATTGCCCATACTTTCACGATGCACTCAACAGAAATGCTATGAGGGCCTGCAATATCATTAGTGCGGATAGTTCGTTTAATCTGCGGTATGTTGTGTTGTATCATCGTAGAATACGCTCTTCGGCATATTGTTAATTGTGCTGCGTGGCATAAAGTGCTGCTCATCCTAGCATTTTTTGTATATAACCTTCACCGAAGGTCTCATTGCAGCTTAGTGCTTTGGGACCTCATCTTAGTATTTTATATCTTGTAGTCAACATGTTATGTAATAGTAAAACTGATTGATTTATTTACAAAGGGTGCAGTAAGAAATTTCAGGCCAGGCTGTAAGCTGGCACCAGAAGTTCAAGTTTATTCAGAAACAGTGCAGCCGTAAGCTGCATTTGAGTGAATCGCTGTTACGAGGCATACTGCCGCATCCATGGGAAAGCGTAATTACTTCTGAGCCAACTCTAATATTGGCAACATGTTCGTTGTGCAACACCACACATTGTGAACAATGTCCTTTTGTCACGAGTATCTTTCGTGTCACTTTCGTACGAACTGGCATGTCTTAAATCACGCGCCTGATGCAAGTTCAAACTGGGAACATAGACCTGTGCACAGTGCTATATCTTCCCTCTTAAGTATGAGTCGCATAGCTTCAGCCTATAATTTCTCTACATTTTAAAAACATCACAAATACACAAAAGGAGACAACCAAAAGCAATGGGAACTTATCGGTAAGCAAAGCATATAGCGTGGAAACAAACACAAGACCAAACGATGGCGGACGAGTCCTAACTTAGTGCCCATTCAGTCATCTTCACGACCTATGTTAGTTTTTGCACTATGTACATATTCGTTTTAACGATGACTAAGCAATGCTAAATCCTGTTCCTTTTGAATAGTTAAATGGGTTTAAACTTAGTTATGTTTCTGTTTATAACTAAGAAGAGTTTGCAACTGAGTAAAATAATTGTCTACATCATCCATCGCTTCGTGCTATACCAATAACCATTTATTTGCACCTGTGATTTTCTTGTAGCTACCTGGTCCTGTTTTAGGTGCTGGTATTTTTTTAATTGCTTCCTCAAGTGTACATTTATAATTATTCACATACTCAGTAGAAAATCTGTATACCCGTAAACGTGCATTTTTATTGCACAAGAATAATTCTCTCCAATCTGCTATCATTTGTCATCTACCATGTTATCAGTGTAATCTATAGCATTATTGATGAAAGTTGATGAGAGAAATACGGGCCAGATGACAAGTATTGTCCAGCAGAAAGATATGTCAAAGTGTACTACTGTGTTTAGACTCTTACTGTAGCTACCAGTTTGCTACTGCCTTGCATCTAAAAAATTTTTTAGCCATTGTTAAGCCATGTGAGCACCTTTTGTCTCAGAAACCAATCAGATTTCTTAAATTCTTGAGGCATTGGATCACACCTGCATTTGTTTTCCAGCTCAAAGAAAACTGTTGACGTTTGCCTTAGGCATATTAGCAGCCGAGAGGCCACCACGGTAAGCAATCGCTGTCTTCACTGACGCATGTGTAATGCTTTGCTGTTTTACTTATCGATGCTTTGTTGAAAAACAGCCACTTCAGCTGACGAGTGCACGAGATTCTCCCACAAATCCATGGCGGATGGTCCGAGACAAGGAGGCCACCATCCTAGAACTAGAAAGAAAGAATGACCACTTGAGGGCAAAACATGAGAGTGTACAGGAAAAGTGAGTTACCGGCTGTGGAAGTTTTACTCGTTTGATTGATTTATTCATTCACTGGTTTTCCGTACTGATTCATATCTAAATCTGTTGCCACATGGTTAATTATGAAGTGTTGAATCGAAATAAAGTTTGCAACGCCATCACATAGGCCGAAAAAAAAAAAAGTGTAACTCACACAGACTCACTCAAGAAATACGTCTTGCACTTTGCGCTCACTTGACTCGGACTCGCCAAGACTTTTCCCGAGCTGAGCTCACTTGGATGCACACTTGGCAAAATTTTCTTCAGTCGGACTCATTCGGACTCAAACTCGCCAAAATATTACACTCCCGGACTCACTCAGACTTGCAACTCGATATGGGTCCTAGTGAGTCGACTTATGAGCGAGTTTGCCGGCCTGGGAACCGTCACGACCCTCTTATTGTGTGTCATTCTGTTCTAATCTTAGCGTCGCAACATAAGAAGAATGTAACAAGTAGAAACCACTAACAAGCTGACAGCAGTCTGCTTCCTGTCATCATCCCATTTTTCACAATTTCTTTTTACCTCACACCTGCTCGGTGGTTCAGCAGTCACTGTGCTTGGCTATTAACCTGAAGGTCGTGGGTTAGATTATGGCCGTGGTTGGGTTTACGACTTGGTTTAGATTGACCAACTGCACTGTGAGAACTCTTAATGCCATTTGTTTCACTATCATAAGTTTAGTATTAGCAAAGAAAATCAAGGTTGAAGCTTCATTTTTAAATTTCACTTCGAAATCTTCGTGCTTGAAATGAAAAGTTTCAAAATGTCTTTTTCGTACTTTCGCGATGTTGGCTCAATTAAATTTTCTCAAATTCGAATACTGGGTCGACGGCACCTTCCCATCCCAATATATTTTATTTTTCTTGATTAGAAGCTACGTAGGACCCAGTAAGCACCTTCAAAATTTATGACATCACGGTGTTTCGTACGGTAATCTCACGGTGGTGTCTCCACCTCCATTTTCTTTTTGCCCATTTTCTCGCTTACCAAGCATCATGTCGCGGTAATAGTGGTGTTTTCGAGATTGTGAAATTGTATATGAAAAATTGTTTTGCTCTTTAGTGTCTCTTTAAAAGAACACCTTATTGTCAAAATTTCCGGAAGCCTTCGTTAAGTTGTGCTCCATAGTCATACTGTGACATATTACTTCTTGCTATGATGTGTACATATTGATGTATTTTGTGTCAAGAGAATTCTGACCATTACTGTATCGAATCTGCTGCTTATTCCGTATCCTTTGGGTATGCTCATTTCAGCTATCTTTTGCATCTGTACATCATGTCTTACTATGTTTGATATTACTGCTGTATTATATCTCATGTTTTACTGCAAACATTTATTACTGTATTTCAAACACTAATGCCCCCCTTCAAGTAACCAGGGAGGGATCAACTCCTTTCCCCACTTAAATGTTTCAATTTTTCATGTGTATATGTGCACAACACATTCTGAAGATTGGTTGTAACCCTCCTTTCCCCTGAAGAAATGTATGGCTATGCCCTTGTCTTAGGGGTAATGTGAGTAAACAAACAAAAATGAACACATTGTTCTAGGCCAATGGAGTTAGTTGGTAGGTTGGCAGCCATAAGGGGGTGGGTGGGGAGGTGTTGCAGTCTTGGGTAGTTAGTTAATATAACGCAGTCATCGAGTGAAGCCTTTACATGATGCTCACTGCCTGTCGTGCCTGCCCCCATAATGAGTGATTGGCAAAGGAAACTTGGCGCTGGACTGTTGTGCCTTTTTTGTCGCCAGGCTAAAAGAGAAGTCGGAAGAGCTTTTGAATTCATCAAGACTGCTCTCAGAGAAGTCACAGGAAGCTTCACTGCTCCAAGACAGCCTCGCCGTTGCCGAAAGGAGGTTGGCCGAAAGCCAGCGAGAAGTTGAAAGAACAGCGCTTCGACTTCGGCATGCTGAAGAGGTCAGTGTCTTGGGGCATGACATGTTATTGACTGTAATTTTTTGTATGCGCTTGAAAAGCGCAGCGCACTCTTGGTCATAGCTTTTTGAAATGTGCAAAGTAAGAATTTCGCAATGATTGACCCATGTGCAGGATTCCGAGAAGCAGACGACACGCATGAAAAACGAGATTGCCCGTTTGGAACGTGAACTCCTCAATGAGAGAGAAAGGCATTCATCGGTGAGTGCTTGCTTGAAGCCTGGCCTTATGGCACTTCTGATTTGGTGCAGTAAAGAATTGAAGGAATTTCAAAAGTGCCTGACCTCTATACTTTTGAACTTTTCGTGGAAGAAGGGAAGTTCTTCTCAGAATACTGTCCCCAGATGTCTCGTTGACAGTTTCAAACCAAAGCACATGACTTGGATATTTTATAAAAGCACTGTGCTACCAGGTGGCTTGTACTGCACTAGTACTAAGCCGTACTGCTGTCTATGATGCGAAGAGGGAAAGAAAAGACAAGTACCTTCATTCACGTGCTTGCTCACATCTAGTTGCACTGGAGTTGCTGTCACTAGATGTCACTAATACAGCCCCAAGAATGCTTGCTTGTACTTTCTGAACTGGTATCCTTACCTCTGTACTAATGGATGTTGCACCATCAACCTTGCTATGATGACTCATGACAAATGGAAATTCAGTAAGGGGGTGTCATGACATTGTTTGTAATAAAGCAGTATCAACAATATGTTTTGCATGTCTGTACTGGCTTTAATTGCATGTAATAGTCCACAGGAGGGGCACTAGCCAATGTGTCCTGATGTCACAATGTAATACCACCACCTTGATACCAGAGCTAGCTTTGAGACACAAGAGTCATCACAAATGATCTATGTTTTTTTTTTATGCTTACTATCATATATTTTTTTATTGGTGCTTGAGGGTCCGAACCTTATTCATTCAGTGTAAAAAATAAATAAATAAAAGAGACAAGTCAGAAAGGTTGTGTAAGGTATGCTCGAAAGGTTTAAAAAGTGTCGCCTGTAACATGCTAGGTTCCTTCTTTATTGTTTGCAGAGTCTTCTGGGTTTGCAGCAGGAATTGAAGCAGATACACCTAGAGTCGAGCTCATGGCAGGTAAGTCTGCACTGATGCACTGTAGTTAAATCAACATAACGAATTCCCCTTGCATGATTGCGAGCTGCGTTTTAACAGTGTATGACAAAATTTTCAATTTAAAACGAAACATCTGTGGTGCAGTCCATCGTTTACCTAGTGGCTTCTTTCGCTTTTTCTTTACTTCTTCCAGGAACGTTACATGCGCGAGAAGCAGAAGACGTCTCAGCTGTCCGAAGAGGTGTCCCAGTCAAGAACACAGCGTCTAAGGTGGGTTAGAAAAAGTAGTTGCGATGGCTTACTCAGGCCACCCCTTCACGTGGCATGGATCTTGTCTGTTGACTAGCGTTGGCACCTTTCCTGCAAAAGAAAAAAAAAGCACCGGTCCTTCAAGAAAGGGAGGGTCGTTGACAGAAAAATAATGTTGAAAAATAGATGCCATTTTTAGTCTTTGGCATGTGGTATCATTTAATGTAACATTGCTGTGCTTCAGTGAAATAATCCTGTTATACATGTACACAAAACTGAACATTCGGCTAACAAACTTCAATGAATTTTTGGTAAATGAAACTCTCTGAAACAAAATTGTTGTTTAACTGGAACAACTGCCTCTTATATGACTGGCTTTGTAGTTGAATTCTGCACCCCTGTTAATTTCTCAGTTAATAGAACTCCTGTTTGATGAAACACATTTTCCTGCTCCCTTCAGGTTTCATTTAATAGGTGCCTGCTGTAGTCACGTTGCTGGCATAAATATACCTGTCGTTGGAATTACATTTGAACTGAAAGAAAGTTAGGTTTTGGTTCTGAATTGCTCTGAACCTGCTGCACTTACAACAGCCCCGCAGTGGTGGTCTAGTGGCTAAGGTACTCGGCTGCTGACTCTCAGGTCACGGGATCGAATGCTGGCTGCGGCGGCTGCATTTTCGATGGAAACGAAAATGCTGTAGGCCCGTGTGCTCTGATTTGGGTGCACGTTAAAAAAAAACCAGGTTACTGAAATTTCTGGAGCCCTCCACTGCAGTGACTCTCATAATCATATTGTGGTTTTGGGACGTTAAATCCCACATCGATAATGAGATCAACAAGTAGTGCAGATTGGGCGAGCTGGTGCAATATAATATCGTATTGGTATAACGCAGCTCTAGTTGAACATGAAGAAAATATGCAACAATGATGGAAGAAATCCAGATGTAATTGTAGTATACGTGTTATTTTTTCGACATCATGTGTATCGTAAGATGAGCTGTATAATGTGCTGTGGTGTCATGGAATAAACAAAAGTTTGAAGTTGAGATCTCATCCTGTTGTCTCTGTTTCCATTCTTCACTGTTGCATTTTTTCTTTGTGCTCAGGCTGAGCTTCACTATAGCAATACAATATTATTGATAACGAGAAAATGTTAATGTTGCCATTGAAACTATATAATTTTTCATAAAATTGCTAACAGCATTGTTTCGGTGATGTAACGCTCTATGTTAAGTTTACTTTTGGCGTGTTTTTGGCATGTAATCCTTGCTGCGTGTCTAGATGGTACATGCTTATATTCATTTCTTGCTGCAGGTTTGAAAAAGTAGATAGTGCCAGGAGTGAAGAGGATACTGACAATCTGGAGAAAGGAAACAGCGTAGCGGTGAGTGCACATCGTTGAATAAATTGTTAAAAATACCTGACAGGCCTCAAGGAACTCGTTGAGTAAGCAGAGTTCACAGCATGGCTCTGAATATCATGACCACTGCTATTCTAAACGTCAGTGAAGAGAGAACAGTAATAGTGCATTGGCGTGTTGACATCGCAATATGCTTGTTACCTTTATGGCAACTGCAAATGATGCGCTTAACGATAGCACAGTTGCTCCTTTATTTTGTGGTGCAGCAGATGTTAGTAACAGGTATCTAAGAACTGCCTCAGCACTGAAAATTGATGTTCTGCATGAGGCCGAGTGAAATTTTTTGAATCGTTAACCAAGTCGATGCACCTGGTTAATGTAAAGAAGTTATTTTGTCACGAGCGCTTTAGTTTTGTGATTTATATATTTAGTATTTGAACTTGTTTTTAAAGAAAGATAAAACAACTGGGACAAAAACTTTGGCCTTTTGTGTGAATTTCTTAATTACACAGAAATTACACACATAATTAGTTGCAGCATTCAGATATTTAACTAAAAGAACTCGACGTGTAAAATTTTCCTCTTTTTGACATATCCTGCAAGTGCAAAAAAAAAGCAAACAAAAAAAAAGCTTACCCGCAGTCAAATTATATCATCAGTAGTGACAATGTTAAGACTAGTGTAAGAAAGAATAGTGATCCCATGTTCGAAGACTCAAGGTTAGTCTTATGTCATAAAACTGTCTTATGTCATGCACGAGTTTGCCTCACTGGGTTTTGTATGAAGTGGAACTGCATGAGATGCCTAATGTGGTTCTTGACAAGTGTTGCCAGGTTTGGCTATATATAGCTGAATTGGGCTACAGAAAAAAAAAAAATTGTTGGCCGCGATTTGGGTGAGTTGGCTAAAGGGCTATATTTAGGCTATTGAAAAATCTGGGACTTGGCTTCATTTGGGCTATAACTTGCGTGCCGACTCTGATGTGCTTTCTGGAGGCATGGGCATCAGCAGGTTGAGGCAAAAGGGGCCGTTGCCCCCCTCTCCCACAGCTGCGATGCAACATTGGTTTGCGCCACCCAAGAAAAAGATCTTGCGACGACTATGTCCCAAGGTGACCCTCAGATACCTATAGCTGTATACAAATTTGGCTTGAAAAGAGCATAAGTGGCAAAACTTTTCTTGTTGCTTTTTCTTGATGCTTTTCTTGTTGCTATGCTCATTTTTGTTTCATCTTGTCATCATCTTGTCATAATTCCTGTTATGTTTCAAAGCAGAGTCCAGAGTTGGAGGATATAAAGACGAAGTACGATGCTCTCAAGAAGGAATTGACCCAGCTAAAGCGAAAAGTTGCTCAGGTGTTGTAGTTGTTATGTCTTATGCTTCAGTTGCGCTTTTCTTTGTGGCTTACACCTAGGGAAATACCTTCTCAAGTTTCTCCATCATGTACCTTATATAGTTGGCAAAATTGGATTATGCATAGCGCAGCAGGAGAAGCTTTCGACTTGTGTAAAGTTGTACAGCTTACAGTTAGCTTACCAGGGTTTGTAGTGGTACACTCGAACCTCATTATAACAAACTTGCAAATTATAACAAATTAACTGTGTTATATCCGAAAATTTGTTATAAAGGTTTATTTTTAACACTAAATCTATTGCGAGACTATTTTTAATTTAACTCATTATAACCAATAATTTGTTATATCTGGATTTGTTATATCGAGGTTTGAGTGTATGCTTTGAATGTCAGACTGCTATATTCAAGGCCTTAATGACCTAGTTTTATGGAGTGCTTAAAGGTTAGCAGCTTTTCCATTTGCTTATGCCTAGCAGATTTAATTTAAGTATCTTATCACAACATTCATGCAAGCCACAAGTCTGATTATTGTGCTCGAAGTAGGGAGTTTTTTTTTTTTTTAGTGGCTTGTGGTAGTTGGACAAATAAAAATAAAAAAAGAAAGTTGAAGTAGCACATGTTTTTTTGTTATGTGAGACTTATTAAAATATGGCATAGCCTTTTATTCTCCTCTGTAGTTTAATTCTTGTCCATATGAGCCTGAGTTGTCAGCACCTTAATGAATATAATGGTCATTGCTGTTGTTCACTTGTTTATTGATTTGTAAGTATGTATCATCTGCATGGTAATGTACCATTACATGTTACAGATGCATTGTTTTTGTTTAGTAAACACTGTGTGATAATACTATATTTTTATGGGCTATAGGGTTTACTTAGTTTAGATTATGTACGCTATTAGGATACTATTGGATTCTCATGTATTATATAGGATATGTGTTATGGAATGATACTGTAGTATTTCCATGCACTATAGCATGACACACAAAACTGAACAATTTTATCTAGTATTGAATAAGTACTATAAGATGATACTGTATGATTTTATGCCGGTAATTAAGACGTTTGGCAACTCCCTGGTCACCTAATAAGCATTATATTCCTGAAGTGTCCTAGGAATTAGTTATTTACTGAATATAGTTCATAAGGCATAATGTATAGAAAGTTTATCACAGAGGGTTTTGGCTCAAAGCAGCTGTTAAAAATAAGCATGCAAATTTCACACCTTCATGAAGGTTTCGCTAAAAAATACCTTTTCAAGTGTCTTCTCGATATAATCTTTACTCATGGGGATAAATGCAGGGAGTATAGGGGACTAATGGTTGCATGTGATAGCTTCCCTCGTGGAACATGTTTTCCCTGTAGAAATGCTCTAACCTTCTGTCATGGGAAACTTGCAGAATGGAAGTGCTCAAGACTTCTCAGCCATTGCCAGTCCTGAGGAGTTTAACAGGTACTTGTTTTCTATTTGTACAAGGGTGGCTTGATACCTCAGGCCTCTTGAAATTTCTGTGAGCGACCCGCCTCGTTGAACGATTGTGGTGCACCAGTGTGTGTGTGTGCTCTTGCTTCCCTCCCTCATTCCCTCTTCCTTACTTTTTTTGTCACCCCTTCCCCAGTGCAGGGTAGCAAACCTGATACTTGCTTTCCTTCTGGCCTTCCTTCATACCATGTCTTTCTCTCTCTCTCTCTCTCAGTGACATAAAGTTAAGAGGGGTGTTGTGTGAAGGTTTTTTTTTTGTTCCCTAAATGTGCGATGCATTACTACAAATGTGCGAGCATTACTAAACTGATCTGAATAAAAATTTTTAAATCTAAGAAAGAGCATCAGGCATTACTCACTCTCAAAAAAGAAATTCTTCATTAGGAACATATAACTTAAAAAAAATTGTTATAAATTGCAAATAAAAATGTTGGAGCAGTTCAATGCTTGCGACTCTGTAACTCTTCACAAAGTTGGGAACACTCCAGTTCTGTGAGATATGCAATAAGATAACCTGAAGTGGGCAAATTCTTCATACATGTCAATTAATTAACACTCGAGAAAGCCAGAGAAAGGTAGGGGATGTTTTTTGTGGTAATTACAATATAAATGAGAAGATGTTAAAGTGGACGAAAAGGCAGCTTGCCACGCACAGAGACTGAACCTGCAACTTTGGAATAATGTGTCCCATGCTCCATCAATTCAGCTGTGGTGGCAGTCATCGTCCATGTCACCTTATCTGGTATATACCGTATTTACCAAATTCCAACTCGCTCTGATTCTAACGTGCATCTGATTTTCGTGACCAAAAAAAAAAAAAGAAAGACGAAGCAACGATACTAAAAAACACCTGTTGTAGACTGCAAGAAGGAAAAGTAATAAACTGTATGCCAGCTTGTAATGTGCATGCCAATTCCACTAATGAACAAAATGTGCAAACATCTTTCATATCGTCAAGTGGGAACAGGCCATTTATTTACTTCACTTAATCCACTGTAACTGTTGGATACAGCTCCTTATTGCTATCCAACTACTGTCACAGAACGAGCGCTAAAAACGGGCGCGCCGCCAAATTCTTGCGATAACGGGCGGGAGAAACGCCGCGAGGTCAAAAGAAAAAAAAAAAAGCAAACGTCCAAGGCTCCCCGGGCGCGCGCTCTCCCCGCAGAAGCGTGGCTTCACGACGAACCTCCTCACCCCACAACGGCGGCCGAGCAAGCACTCGTTTTTTCCAGAACGAAAGGGGCGTGGTCAGACCGAGTTGACTCATCGGCCGGAGAGGGCATTCCAACCGTCTCGCCCTCTTCCCAGCTTTCGCTGCGTATCGCGCCGACGAAATGACCAGAAGCGTCTGGAATGCCGCGCGCAAGGTATTTAACCGAGCAGCCGAGATGAGAAAGCAGGAGGAGACGGAAGTGAGCGCCAGAGCGCGTAGGGATTCCGCCGTGTAGTCGGCGAAGGTTTTGGTCCGTAGGGACGAAGCCGGAGATGAAGAGGATTTCCACCTGAGGGGTGAAGGCTCGAGCTACAGGCAAGAGTGTGTGTGTTTACCGCTATCGAGCGAAGACGCGTGGCAACAGCTGCGAGTGTGAAGCCGACGTGTTTCCGGCGAAGAAGTTTGAAGCTTGGAGAGTGGCCAATTGAAGTCGGCGAGGTTTCCTGGAAGAGAAACTTCGAGAGCTGCGGAACGACAACAACGCTGGACTTTGAGTGAGTGATTCTCGGAAGAGTATCATTCAGACTTTTGTTCCAAGGACTTTGGACTGAATAGGTTTTCTATCTCTTTAGTCCTTAAGTGTCTTGGTTGTTCAATGCATGCGACTGCATTGTAGTGCGTATCGTTGTCTGTGTCCGTTGTTTTGAGTGTGGCTGACTGTATTGTGTAGTACGTTGATTGATTGGTTTGATTGGTGACATATTGTATGTAACTATTGTGGAGTGTGCATTCTTGTGTATTGTTTTCGATCTGCCAATTTCGAGAATATAATATTTGTTTTGTTTATCAACTCTCGGCTCTGACTTGTTCTTTGGGCCACAGCCGGCGTCCGCTGGCGCGCCAAAAAGGACCACTTCTAAATTGTCCACGCTTTCGTGGTGCGGTTCAGGGGGCCAATACTTCGGCCCTTGGAATTAGCCCGGCGATCGCCTCCCTCATTAACGGGACCTGTGTGTGACAACTACATCTTGTCCTCAGTGCCGTTCATGGCATTAGAAATACCACATTTGGTGAATGCCTTCACTACCATATTCAGTAGAATGCCAAAGCAAGTTTTGGCCGTCCACCTGGCCATTTCCTCAATAGAGGCACGCTTCAGCCTATTGTTGGCTGTGATGGTGTGGCAGCCACGACGATGGGCAGCTATGGGGCTGTTTTGGATGGTACGCGAATCCAACACGCGTGCGATTTCGAGGCCCATTTTTCCCGAAAAAAGGTGCGCGTCGAAATGGGGGAAATGTAGTATGGTGCATTTAAACCTGGAAGTGTTAGCCAGTGCTGTTCATAGCAATGACATCGAGTATGTCCACAATGATTGTGGCTAGCATCTCTCCCCCACCCTCCCATCTGATATGTCAGTTGGTGTACTTCAGTTGTATACTCCATTTCATACATCAGATGCAATACTATGGAATCTAGTGAGACTTGCAGTCGATGCATTCTGGTAGTGCATAGCCAGAGTCAGTTATGAAGACCATGTTTACAACGACAAAATTGAAGTGCGTGATGCACCTACTTGCAGTTTCGCTGGCCAAACTTCTTTCATAGCTTCCACAGCATTGCATCAGAATTGGAGTACAGATTACAGCAGGCATGGGCGTGTTGTCACCGTTCATAGAAATGTCGATAGGTAAATGTTAATGGATGCTAGCTGAAGTGTTGGATGTGCACTGTTTTAAAAACAATATCGACGACAAAGCACTACTTGAACCGTTTTATTTCGTATTGTTCTCATATATTCACTATGCTTGCTGGTGGCTCATCAGTGAGCTTGCTGTCTGGCATATTGCAATGACTACCACAGTGATTTTTCGCTGTAGCTTTAATATACTGTCATAGAAATGTTGAAATATCTGGCTTCTGTGACTAAATAAATGTTCATTAGTTTAGCAGCATGTATCAAAGTTTCGCAGTCTGAAAAGTAATCTCAGCCTCTTCAGGAAATTCGCCTGAACAGGCAGAATCTGATCACATTGTGTGTTCTATACAATTGAAAGAAGGACCTGTCATCGTATGCTCTACACAATTGAAAGGAAGTCCTGTTTGAACTGTTACAGTTGAACAGGCTGGTAGGTTAACGTTAGAAATAAGTTGCTATATTTGCTTGGCCGTGCTCACTTTAAGGTTGCACATTGATGTTCTGCTTGCCCACAGGTTGATCCTGGAGAAGCGGGACATTGAAGAGGTCTGCCTGAGTTTCGACCGCAAGTTCCAAAAGCAGGTGCGTCAACCTCCTTGGCGAGTGGCATTTGTGAATATGAAATACTCTAGCATACTATCCTGAGAAGGTAGACAACAATGAGCAAATTTAACCGTGCAGGAAGGGCGTGTGTGAAAATGACAAAAATGAACTGTTAACTGCCATCTTTATAAGACAGAATAGAAAAAAGAAAGTTATTTGTGCAGGTTCTTTGGTGGCAAGCTTTATAACCACATTTATATTTCATGATTTCATAGCTACCCTTTCCATTGCACATTATGACCACCCATCAATGAATACACAAAACTTATAAAATTCGATGCCAGTGTTCTCGAAATGAGATTTAAAACAATTGATTGTGTTAGAAAATGTTATTGTGTATATTACAGTGAATAATTGCAATGGCAACCTAAATAATTATCTAATTATTGTGAAGTCAGTCATAGTGTATTTCTTGATAAACTGAACTTGGTGACCCACTTAAGTTAGTTGCTATAGTTAGCTGCTGGCAGAATAAATTCCCTGAAAAAGGTTGAAAAGTTATTTCGAAGTTCCTTCAGAAATGCCCGTGTACAGTTCTCGTTAAACACGGCACTGCCTTCAGCAAAGCGGTCGTGTAGTGCAAATATTTCAACCAGAAGTTTTATGAGAGAACTTTAGGCAACAAGAATGTTTTGTTTAACATTAGAACAGGTGTTAGCGGTCTCCTCCTTGCCAGTAACACACACAAATGGCAAAAGTCGTATTTTCAAATCAGGAGGCCATGTTGCAAAAACTTACTAAATGTTATTCAATATTGCAAACTGAGGTCTTCTATTTTTTGCTTGGCTTCATTAATGATTCCCTGCTTATGATAGTGTTTAAAAAGGCCACTGCTGTCTAGAAACACAGTGGAACAATCGTCAGAAAAATGTGCAATGCGACAACTTAAAGTGTGGAAACTTTTTTTTTTTACACAAAAGTGTTTTATGTCAGGGTCCGCCACGGCTGTGCTGATGTACTACCGTCACGGAAGTGATGTTGAAAAATATATAGGAAGATTGTGAAAAAAAAAAACCATAATGCCAGCATTCAATCGCACGAAATCGAACCAGCAACCTCTTGATTCACTGTTGTTGACAATCTAGAACTGTTGTTGAGCAGCTGTGTGCTGAAACAAAGTGTTTCATCTGGTGAATCAAATTGTCTTTCAGACTCAAGTGTTGAAGAGACTGGATCAAATGTGAGTTGCAATTCTGGCCCAGTCAGATTCCTTTTAGCGATAGAGCGCTAGATCTCTGGCATCTTTTCTCAAATGAAATATTGAAAAACTTTAATGTATTTTTGTCATGTCTTTGTAAAATGAAGCTTGACGTGCAAACTTTTCATGATGTGAACCTCTGCTGCTGAAATGTAGCATGAAGGCCGATACACTGGCAAGCACATTTCGCTAGATCAAGTTTGTTGAAGGGCCTCCGTAGTAAAGTGGGTTGCACTGTGGGCATAAGTGATTGATGATTTTTTTTTCAAAAGTATTAAAAATAATGACACTTCAAAAGAATGCTGCAGCGACGTAAAGAAATCTACTGTAAAACAATCTCTTTAACCGAGACCTATGTACTCTTTAATTAGTTTGCACATCATTGTGCCATTTCTGTAGCCATGCAAACTCATGTTTTTATTTAGGAAGAATTTGTAGACATTTGCTTCACTTTTAAATTGTGTACTATTGCATGCAGCAGGTTTCAAGTGTAATTGAATCAGTTCTAGAAAGCTTTGCTCAATGTGTTTACAAATAAAGATTTGTTTTCTTTTTTAGAAAGAGAGAGAGAGATAGTTTATTTACAAAAAAGTAGAGAGGTTGGCCTGAGCTACAGTTGCCTCTGGCCTGCTACTCTACACTGGGGAAGGGTGAGGGGAGAGTGAAAGGGTGATGAATGATAAGCAAGGTAAAGAGATTAAAACACCTTCTATTTAGGCTGGGGTAACTCTACAGACGTGCATCCAGTTCAGTGGCTTCTTGGAATGCAACTTTTTTATTTTTAATGGGTTTATAGGCTGAAGGAGTCGGAAGCAAAAGTGGAAAAGCTCACTCAAGTGAAACTTGAAAAACAGAAGAACTACCAGGTAGGCATGCCTTGTGACTAATGTTCAAGGTGAACATTGGCATTTTACTAGGCATCACTTCGTGTTTTGTACCTGTGGTCCGGTAGCACTCCTCACAAAAGCAAGCAGTATTGACCAATGTTTGACTAATTAGCTGTTGCTGGAGTCAAGGGGAGGTGCTAGTAATTAAAAAAATAAATCTAAATTTTTATCATGCACAAAATAACTTTTCAGGCAACTTGCTTATGTTCCAGTCAGGTTAAAAGCAGATATGCAATTCATTTCTTAAAATCTAAAGTAGTTCGAGATATTACATTATCAAAACACAGTCTGCCCAGCTTCTCTGCAATAATATCATTCAGTGTCCTCGAAAATGTGTGTGGGCATATTTTAGAATGGAGATCACAACAGGACTATAGCTGTAATTTCAGCTCTATTCATATAAAAGTTTCTGTGTGTAATGTGTGGGCTGAGAACCTCATAATTTTGTCTATTGTGTCACCAAATAAATATTTTCTAGAAATATATAACTATTACAATTTATTGTGTGTAGGCACTCACAGGCTTTCAAATGCAACAATAAAAATCAAAATCTGACTTACTTCGAAAGATAATGTCAAAAACATGAAAGAGGAGGAAAAGTGTCTTTTTTAGGGAGGCACGTGCAAAAGTTAAAATGGCCATAAAGATGGCTTTAGAGCTCAATAACATAAATAAGCAACCCAGACTTTGATATACTAAACCTAGATATAACGAAATATCGGTTATAACAAAGTAAATGAACATAATCTTACAATAGATACAGTGTTAGGAATATACCTTTATGACAAATTTTTGGTTATAGCAAAGGGATTTTTCTGTAAGATGCTACTTTGTTACAAGGAGGTTTGACTGTACTCATCCGAAGTATTATTATTATAGCAATAGATTCTCCTGGATGTCTAGATGGGGGGAAAAAAAAGAATGTTTTTGGGAAGTATATTTTTTGGCAGAAATTTTTTTATGTTATCCTGAAGTTTTGCATGCCTAATATAAGAAAGCTTCCGGGCTTTCGCTTTGTAAGAGTGCGACTCTGCAGCTTCTGTTACTATTTTGTACTTAGGTACAAAATTTTTTACTGGGGTGTACCTTTTCTAAAAAATGTAGCCTTTTTTCGGAAACAAAAAAAAAAGAGTAAGATCATGAAATTGAGCATGTAAATTCTCCGTGGTAGGGGCGTTATCCCCCGCTCTAAAAGTCTTTTCTACGCTTACCTTACACAATAAAAAGATCACATTCCATTCACTGCAAGAAAGGCATTCCAATCAATTATTTCTTTCTTAATTTTAACTCTCATAGTTTTAAAACTTCTAGGTTCGACCATTCTCTAGGAATTTAAGTATAATCTGAGGAAATTTTAGTGCAATGCGTCTGGTAGTTTTTCAGAAACCATACGTAAAAAATTGCGGAAAACGTGCGGAAAGTGCTCACAACACAAACCAGTCACTATGCTACAAATGCATTACTTCTGGTAAAGTTTGCAACCAAAACTCATGAAGATAATATAAAATGAGCCTATTTAACTGACAACCATATTTACTAAAAAAAAAGTGCATACATGCAGACACAGGGATAAAAAACGTGTAGACAAGTCAATGCATTTGCCAGGAGGTGCGGTATTTGATGGCATGGCCTTGAGCGCTCCTATGCCAGTGCACCGTTTCGCTCCTCAGAGCTTGCATTAATTTTGAGTGATAAAATTTAAAAAAATCGCTCTTTTGGTCAGTCTACCCTGCCATACCCACTTAAGCACAGCTATTGTTCTCCCTGGCACATATGTAACTGCGGCAGCAGCCCCGCATATTCCGACTGAAAATTTTTTGGAATCTTACTAATAGTCATAATGGCTAGAAAGTTCATTTGTCTCGTATACTTCTCTTGCAGGATTTTGTGCAGTATGTTGGAGAAAAGCTCGATTTTGTTGTTGGATTGCTTTCTATACGCTCTGCGGACACCTTTCAAGTGAGTAACTGCTTTGTGCAGTGAGGGAAGTAATGATTATTAATGAAGGGCTCACTTTCATTGTTATGTTATGTACACCCTAAGGAATCTAATCAATAATGAAACCAAGGAAAGTATAAGAACATTATTAAGTAACTAGAGTGTGGTAATTATGATATAACTTTAAAGAAATCAAAGTGGATAAAAAACATGATGTCATTTACATATATTAAATAATAAATATTTCTTAAAATAACAAATACATCCAAGCTTGTTAATTTAGATTTTGCAGGACCAGAAAATATGGCCGAATTAACTGGTTACGGAAATTATCAAAAATATCAAGGAAACAGTGAAAAAATGTCTAGTTTGTCAATATACTTCTACTTAATGAATACGTAAATATTATACTTTGGATAAAAATGGTGTGAAAGGTGTAATTTTCGCCACTCGCGACTTTGTTCACAATGGGACAGCAGCTCAAGATCTCCCTGTCAGAACTTACCTGAAACGTGCCAACCTGCATTGAACCCGAAACGTCGTTACTGGTGTTTATTTTATTTATTATTTATTTATTTAGCAATACTGCTAGCCCCAACTTGGGGCCATAGCAGAGTGGGTGTACATAGTACAACAAAATCAACAGTACAATACTGCAGTCAACATAGAACAAAGCACTTCAAACAACATAAAAAATGTTTCACGAAGAAAAAAAAAAAACACTAGTCAGATATAAATTTTTCAAATGTCTCGATACTGTCTGTTTCAATAATTTTGCTGTCAAGCTCATTCCATTCTTTGGCAGTGCGCGGAAAAAAGGAATACTTGAAAGTATTATTATTGGGCTGGAAAGGAACGACAGTGTGTTTATGACGTTGTCTGGTAGAGTAACCGGAAGAGAACTTTAAGTATTCACCTGTGTTACTATTTATTCGACCCTTAACTATCTTAAAGAAGAACAACAAACGAGAAATTCTATTTCTTTCTGAAGTTTGTTTGAATCCCGCTTTGGCAACTAATTCTGTGTTGCCGCAGAGTTCGCACTGACGACCATGGCGGTGCAGACTGAGCCATCTCGTTTCGGTTGTCTGCGAGCGTTGTTTTTCCTCCTTTGTGACGCACACTTGCGACGCTTTCTGCTCAGCGTGCTCCAAGAATCGTCCTAATTAACTGAGCTGCGGCGAATTATGACTGAATTAACGCGAGTTCGATACCACTGAACAACACATACACACCTGCCGAGACCAAAGGATGTGCCTTAATTATGCAATTTTCCAAACTAACGAGCATCAAATTAACAAGCTTTTACGGTATGTCATCTTACAGGCTTTGTTTGCCTCTGAGTTGGCTGGGAAGCGGCCATTGTCTTTTCAGGTGGCAGAAATCAAGGTGAGACATCAATACAACTTTGCACTTGAGCAAAAAGCATATTAGACAGGTTTATTCTGCATACTTCATGATAGACTGTTAATTGGTTATTGCACTCTCAGTGCAACCTAATGCACTGTGCAGCTACTGCAACATTAGGCTACAATTCGTTTATTGCCTTGTGTTCCATGAATAAATTAATTAGAGCATTAATCAGTAGTTTCTTAATTTTCAAGATTGAGCTAGATTCCTTGCTGTATTAATGTTCACTACTTTGACTTATCGAGCTTGGTTGCTTTTATTATAGGGCTGGTCGCTTTTATAATAGGGAATTTCTAAACATTTTATATTTTATAAAGAGATTACCCGATATGTATGTACAAGCAAGGTTACACATGAATTTTTCCACTTGCAGCCATTGAAAAATGCTGCCATCATATTTGTTTCCACACTATCTGTTGGATGTCTACGAGACATTTTCTTTCAGTCCTATCTGCCACCATGATCATGACCAACTAGCCCACCTAAAAAAAACGCATCTGCTAATTAGTGTCACTTTGTTTTGCTGTTCACATTGCAGAGCAAGTTTCACTGGGTACTGCAAGAAATTCGGTCCTTGTGTCTTGGTGAGGCTGAGTCGAAAACACAATCCATCGCCTGTCCATCGCAGGTGTAAGTTTTTTGTGTGGAAATTTCCTGTTTTCTGACAGCATGGTGCATTCACTGACAAGTGCTTTTGGCCTCATCTCTGTATACACAAGAATGGGGATTCTGTGATGTAAAATGTAATATGGGAAGTAATGAAACGGGTACTTTGTCTAATCAGTTGAGTTAAGAATTTAAATGGCAGAATCCACCATCATGCATAGAACGGACAACTGGCACTCACTTGGAGCAGCAGGATAGATGCCAAGGGATGGAAAATGAAGCAAAGAATGGCACTGAGTTTTCAGACCCAAAACCAAATCAGTTAGCATAAGATAGCATAAATTGGAGGTCATGAGAAAGGCCTTTGTCCCACACTGGATATGACATAGGCTGATAATAATCATAATGACAAACAATACACAAGGCCACAAAGGAAATAACAATAGAAATAAGCTCCGAGTTTAGGGGTTTCGTTTTGTATTGGTCATAACAGGGTTTCAGATTCGGACCTTGTCCACAGCAAGTTATCTTTTCATCCACTTTTTTTCTTCACATCTACATTGCAATTAGTTTTAATACCACCCCCTATACTTTTCCTGGCATTATTGTCTGTTGGATCTCATTAATATTGCATCTAACAAAAACAAAAGAGTGCTTAAATGTACACTTCTTTCCTTCGAGGTTCAAGGAAGCAGTCCATGTGTCAACAGACACACAAACATGCCTGTATGAATGCACGCATGTTTTCTGAGCTGAGATATTCGGTTATGTTTAGTAGGACATAAAAAGTGTCATGTGAAACTTTTATCGAAACAGCACATACATCACAGCATTAATCACCTGAAAAGGACACAGTCTGTGAGAAGCCTCGTTTATCTTCTTGTGTAAAATCAGCATTGGCTACTGAAGAAAAGCTTCGAGCTTTCGGCACAATAGTGTGGTAACTCAAACCCCGATATAACGAACCCAGGTACTATAATGAAATATTGGTTATAACAAAGTTATGCAAAATAGTTTTGCAATAAACATAGTGTTAGGAATAAAGATTTGTGATGAATTTTTGGATATAACAAAGGTATTTTTGTGTAAGATGCAACTTTGTTATAATTAGGTTTCAGTAAAATAACACACAAGGTGTTTGAGTATACCTAGCTGTAATACTATGTCTATACTTCACCTAATCGAGTAGTTTCCATACTGCATTAAACTCTCCTTCAAGAAATTTGCTCTCATTTAATTGTTTTTGTCAATTTACCAAACTGACTCGCCATCTTTGCGAGTTGAATTGGAGTAGCATTATTAAGTTGGTGCTGAGGACTCCATTTTCCCCGCCTTTCTCTTTAGCGAGTAATTCACAAGTCAACACCAATAGCAGTATCATTTTTGATGGCACTTCTTTCAGTTTCAATGTGACAACATTTTTGGCTGTCTGATCACATACCAAACCAGGATATAAGGAAATATCAGTTATAACGAAGCGGATGAAAATAGTCCTGCAATAGATATATATAGGGTTCGGACACACTTCAAATATAGAAAGGTAGCAGACGAGATCATAGCTTTGCCTGTTTGAAAGCTGCTTATTATGCTACAACTTCAAAACTTAAAAGGAAAATGTGCAGAAATGTTTGAGCGACAGAAAGAACAAACTGAGAAACAAGTGGACATATTGTTTTATAACTTAGAGGTGATAGGGTAGTAGTTGGTGAATGCAATGAGTTACGGGTGTTGCTGTTGCTCTGCTTATATACCAATGTGTAGATTTTTGTCTTGGTAGATTTTATTGTCTCTATTCTGGGGCGTAAACTTTGCGACATAATAACTGTGTGATTTTGTTCTTGCTTACAGTCACCATTGCAGCTCCAGTGGATCTGATGCGAAGGGGAAGCCAAAAAAGTTCTACCGGTCTTGACGTGTCCATTAGTTGTGATTCGGGAAGATTCGTAACTTAAGGGTGCTTGTGATCCATACATTACGGACCTTTAAGATCTATGGAATTACGGCATGAATGATCAAAATGCTGGTCTTTCTTACTACATAACTGACTGTCGTGTTGCTAACCATGAATGATTAAAGGGACACTAAAGTCAAATAACAATTTACATCAGAGTGAAAGCTCAATGTATGGCAACACCTAAAATGACAATATTATCAACATCAGTGCCCTACTTAGCGATAAATTAAGGCAAACTGCACAAGAACACAAGGCCCGCAGTAGGACATTTTCAAAATGATCCCGATGACATCAGGCGGACTGCCTACAATTAATCACTAATAATCTAACTGCATTAAATAAAAAACTTTCCGTGCATCAAGAGACACAATAAAATGCTGCTTGTTCGTTTTTGTTTGATTCATAAAAAAAAAAAAAAACGCCGGATTTTACTATGGGGAATGGTGCGAATAGTTCAAAAGTTCAATTGTTGCTTGGTTACACAGGACAGGTGGTGCCGTCTAGCGGGGTGCAGTTGAAACAAAAGCTTCTGTAATCTCGGAGCCAATGGAGGGAAATTGATCAATGGCCGTTTTTGCTGCTGTGACTCCCGCTGCTTTCGGTCTGCTGCTACTAGCGCAGTAAAGCTGGGCAACGTTGTGCACGGCAACAGTGACGTGAGACAGACCGGTCGGTCCACTTCTTGAGGCGGGTAATTTGAACTGTGCTAACGATGCGGACCACTAAAACGTGATTTTATTCAAAATAGGCTTTTTCTTGGCAGAAAAGTAATACTACGAGGTTTCTGGACTGCCATTTCAACAATCAACATCGACTTAATAGTGTACTTTAGTGTCCCTTTAAGAGCTTCCCTAATCTCGAATTTCTTGGTACACTTGTCTCATGTGATAGGTTGTCAGGGTTGTGGAACAAGTGCTCACGTTTTTCTTAGTAAACTTGAACATTGTTCTGTGATGTTATGTGTGTACACGATGGAAAAGTGCAGACCGCATTCATGAACGAAAAATTTTGTCCGTGCATTGTTAGATGAGAATTAACCCAAGTGTGTTATGAAGTATGTGTTGTGAATCCTGGGCCACAGTTTTTCGGTTTCAGTCTCTACTGAGCTTTGAAGAAGTTGAACTTTTTTGTCCAGAGAACTTGTGGTCTGCCTATCTCGTTTACAGGAGCAAGTTTGAATTTGCTTTTTCTTTGATGTCAGGTTACTTATGATCTCATGACATAAGAAGTGAAGATGTTTGCTAGTTTTTATATATAACTTTTCAAAGAGCCATGGCACAGTCATCCTGCTATTTCGAATTCATCATTGCTGCTCGACGTAGAAGGCTCAAACGGTTACTCACGCACAGAAAAAACTAGGCATGAGATAAGCATCTTACCTCAAAATTTCTACTTGAAAGTGCTGCCTCTATGCTCCTCCCGTCCACCATTATGGCCGTGTTTTCATGCATTGTGTGATGTCATGAAATGAGGAGCCATTAGTATGTGTGCAATACTTCAATGGACATACCTGGACATACTGCCGTGCACACTGTCATGTCCACTGGCACACCAGGGGAATCGTTCCTGAATTGCACCCGCACTTTCTTTCGCTGACATTTTAGAGAGATGTCGCTAACCACCAAGACGAATACAAAAAGACTAAATGATATGTTGCGCCCATTAACTCTTTGTAGCTGTTTTAATCATTTCCTGCTTTCACAGTGTATGAAGGCACGGCCTTTGAGATCAGCGTTGTTAATCACAGAGTCCTTTTCGTGTACATGTTCATTTAATCATCATCAGTGGTTTTCACACTTCTGCACGGTGCAAATGGCACACTGAAAAATTCAAACAAGAACTTTTTACCTCGCTGAACGTGCTAAAATTTTTGCAGTGTTCTCTGGGACGTGTTAACATACAACAGGGTTAACATGCAATGTATGACTCATTTTCAAAAGTTAAAGGTTATGGCCCTCTAAAGGGAAATGTGAATTGGCCTTAATTTTAAAGTGAATTCCTAGCGTGACCAGCAACAGACAGCACCTCCCATATTAACACGATAGCGTTAAAAAGCTCATTTTGCAGAAATTCTAGCGTCGGTGTCGGCGTCGTTGGTTGTGAGCGAAAGATCATCATAGTGAGTGCGACTGAAATATCGAGAGCGATGCAAACAAAATACTCAATAATAAAAATTCCAAAATACTCAATAATAAAAATTCCAAGTCCGAGTGAGGATCTAACACGAGTTGTTTGTGTGGAAAGTGGGTGTTCTAACTACACAGCCTCATTTCTGCTAAGAAATACGGTGAAAGTAACTTCCTCTGCTTGGAAATGCCATGAAAATAACTTTCATGCTTTCGAACACATGCGTCCTGTATACACGCTTCACAGTCTACAACATGAAATATTGCAGTAATAATGTGTGGGTGCAAACATACATTATCAGGCATCAGAACATGTGATAATCGCAATGACTTCATGGTTTAGAGCCAGTCGGCCTTTACAAAAGGCCCACACGTTATTGCACCTATTTTATTATAGGAGTAGTGACATCAGCTTGATGCATGTTTCATTTTCTGCATGAACGTGTAGTTATGAATCCCCTAGCAATGGTTCGGTACTAATGATGCAACAGAGGGACAAATTAATATATGTACTATCGATTAGTATGACCAGTATCGAGCCCAATATAAAACAGATGCAAAGCCCGCTAATTTTTAACCCTGCCAAGCTGCACTAAATGTTTAAAGCACACACTAGGGACAGGATATCGCTATCACATTCATCTCTTAAGGGCGAAGCTCAGAGGTCTCCTAAGTTTTTTTCATCATGCTCCAACCTATCATCTGTATGACTGCATTATTTATGCAAACATGTTCTGGAAGTTCGACACAGTGAGCACAGATCTGCAAAATCAATTTTTACGTTGATTTTTCAGTTTCGAAATGTTTGCTCATATGCTGAAAAAAGCGTTTTCTCTATATTTTGCTTCTTTGGACATAATTTCTGCCATATTGAGCAAATTACATACATTTGTGTTGTTGTTAACTGTAAAATACATTTGTTTGATGTTGTCATACCAGTGTCATTACCCACAAATGACATTTAAGCTTTGTGTAATGGGATCTTGTGCTCCATGGGATGCAGGTACTATTGCAAGGCGTTACAGTTGCAGTACCTGTAGCTTTTGTTGTACCTTTTTTTATTCACATGAATTTTTATTGGCAAGCCTTTCACCTCCCCTGTGACTGTGGATCAAGTACTGCGTTGTGCTGATGTCCTGGGAAAAGGCTTGCTCTTTTATTGTGATGAATTTTTAGTACTGTCTGTGCACTTATGATATATGGTGACATTTTTTTCAGCACTGCAGCTTTTTAATGGTAAGGTTACTGCTTGGTTGTGCCATAGATACAAGCATTTATTTTTTGTCATTTTGTCATGAATGTGTTTGATTTGTTGCATTCGATGTCAAATGTAATGAGCAAAACATTCCAGCCTATGCATTCAGACCAGAGTCAGACCATTTTGTGATGTTTACTATTTACATCTATTTATGGGGCAAGCAGTTTAGTTTTATTTTTATCTGATGGTGACATTTTTTTCAACACTGCAGCTTTTTAATGGCAAGGTTACGGCTTGGTTGTGCCATAGATACAAGTATTTATTTATTTACTTTTTCATTTCGTAAAGAATGTGTTTGATTTGTATTTCATGTAAAATGTGATGAGCAAGACACTTAAGCTTATGCATTCAGACCAGAGTAAGACCATTTTGTGATGTTTACTATTTACGTCTACTTATGGGGCAGTAGTTTATTTTTATTTTTATCTGATGCTTATCTTTAGGACCTATGGTGAAATAATGTTTGTAGATTAAACATACAGTTTGAAATGCTCCTTACATTAATAAGTTTTACCAAAGTAAGCTTACTTTGATCCCAGTTAAATATTAACCTCCAGCAGCTACTTGATGACTGAGAATTGGAAGAAAGCATAGATGTAGAATGGCTATCAATGTTCACCTCATGCGTTATATGTAGATACTAACAGAAACTTTCGTGACACCCTCGGCGTAGTAAAGACTGCAGTAAGCACTGTGCCAGGCTGTTGAAGTTATCCCTAGCGTTTTGCTCTTGTACAGGATCGGCATTCCTTGGTGTAAAATTTAGACTGTGTGCTCAACACATTCACATTTTTAAAATGAAATTCTTACTGAGGGCTGTTTTGAGAACAAGTGTACATCGTTGTTACAGCTCATGCGTTCTGTGATTTTTCTGCTTTTGCAGCATACTTTAAAGAACAAACACATGAACAAACAAACAGGGGTATGTATGTGTGAGGTTATTGGTGTTGGGAATAAAGGTGCGGTATTGTTGAAATCTGTGATGTATTTTTGTTTGATTTATTTTGATCATTGTACCGGTAATAGCAGCTCATTACTTGTGGGGTTGCCCTGCTGTGTACAAGGTCACGGGTTCGTTATCTGTGATGGGGGCATCATTATAAAGTGTTCTGAATGCAGAAGCACTCCTGTGCTTTGCATTGTTAGTGAGGGTGCATAAAATAACATAATTTAAGTGTGCTGAATGTAGAAGCACTACTGTGCTTTGCATTGTTTGTGAGGGTGCGTAACATAACATAATTTATGAACACTCCAGCACCTGGCTTAGCACATATCAACCACGCGCTTTTTCTACATGGTTTCCGAGATCCAATTTGGCAAGCACCCAAATGACCACAAACAACCCCTAGTACATCCGTTGGATGTTCTGCTCCGGATGTTCAGGCATTGCCTAGCGAGAGTTCTCCTGTCACATCAAGTCTCTCTTTCTCTCACTCTCTCTCTCACACACACACACACACACACACACACACACACACACACACACACACACACACACACACGCTCAGCCAACATATGGTTGCGATACGATACCCAGAGCTTCGTTTGTCCACTCATCAGGATATTCACTTCGCAGAGATGCGTGGATTTTTTTTTTCAGAACGTGTCAAGTACGAGCGCAGATTGGTCGCTGGCCGTAATTGCTTTCCCTCTTCTCTCGTCCTGGCGAACGCGCTGAAAGCTAAGCAGGGAGGTGTAGCATGCGGGCAAGAAGTTACGTCACGTGCGCGTCATGACCTTGAGCACTTTTAGATGCCAAGCAACCTTAGGGGCGTGGCTTGTCGGCGTCCGATTTCGTCACGGCGTGTCTCGTAGTCACTTCGATCACAAAACTACTTATGCGCCACAAAGATTGAGCGAATCCCACTGCCTTCGCACCAGACCACAAAAGAAATGAAGGCAACAGAAGAAGGCCTAACGAATAGCCGACGGCGCTTGGTGGATCTGAAACACCCTTCCCGACATGCTTCGCTCCTCCCCAGGTTTTCTTTCTTTTTCTTCA